CGGTTCAGTTTTTGTCCGATTTTTTCGAGACTTTTTTTTCGTCAGAACCTATCAACATGGTATCTAGTTTTGAAGATCTCGACGCGAGGAATTCAATGGTGAAAACGGCTCGAGATTTGGATGCACAATTTAAGAGATAAGAAATTTTGAATAAATAAATGTACGAAAAAGGGAAAATTTCCAAATTACGACATGTGGCGCGCATGCAATGCGCCACTTGTCGCAACCTGATACCAGTCTCTGCACTAGTATGAATCATAACTGAACAACAGAAAATGAATGGATCAATATATAAGGTTTGAATCAGAAACTAGGAAAATTGTAGAATGTTTTTTTGCGGGGAGGAAAATTGGGGAATGTTGATAGATACCCGTACCTGTGTGGTGTGCTTAGTTGTGGGACCGTGGGAGGGTTGGCCGGTAGCTGGTGGCCGCAGGCTGGCTGCTAATGTAGTGTCAGGCGGGGTGCACGCCTCACTCGGTCACGCCTGCACACCGCCGACCACCGCGGATAGGACCGGGCGGCTGGGTGCAGTGGAGCACGCGGGCGCGGAAGCACCGCGGCGGGGCATGGCACAAAGACAAGTGGGAGGCGGCGACGACTGGTGGCTGGCAAGGCGCGGACCAAGGGGGTAGGCGGGAGACGCCTGGCGGTGAGTTCAGATCGGGAGAGCCAGACAGGGATTAGAGGGGAATCAGCAAAGGGGCAGAGACCGTGACTGGGCGCCGGGAACACAAGGCAGCCTGCTGGGCTCATTTCTTTAGTCCAGCCCATCTCCTCCTCAAGCCTCTATGGGCCGCAGCCCACCCTGTAGGTCCGCCCTATGAAGCAAAGCCCTAGTCTTAGGAGACTAACTAGTTGACGAGCGCTCCTTGGGAGCGCTCCCAACGACCGCAAGAGGGTTGAACTGAGAGCGCCACTTGGCCCACTCCCAGCCGCCATCATGTGTCGCGCACTGGGCATTCCCTCTCGATTTATTTTTATATTTTTGCACGCGTTTTTGGCTTTTTAAACGGTTTTTTTGAGTTTTTTTGGCTTGCTGGGTTTTTCATCGGTCTTTCTTATCTTTTGGACAAAAAAATCAAAAAACTTTTCTTAGCGTGGAAAAGCGGGGTTTTTTTTCGCGAGAGGCACGACCATGCCTCTCAAAAAATGGGGAAAATGTGTTTTCATTTTTTCCTTCCCCAAGAGGTATGGTTTTGCTTTTGCTAGAGGCACAGTCTTGATGTCGCAAGAGGCACGGCCATGCCTCTCGGAAACGAAAAAAAAATGTGTTTTCTATTATTATTTTTCTTTCACGAGAGGCACGGTTTTGCTTCCACGAGAGGAAAAAATATGTTCTTTTTCCTTCTGTGAGAGGCATGGCTTTGCTTACTTGAGAGGCACGGTGGAGCTTTCGTGAGAGGCACGGTCGTGCCTCTTTCGGGAATGGGAGAAAAGTGCTCTCGGTTCGGTTTTTTCGTCTGGTTTTTTCCGAAAAACAGAAGTTCTTCAAAACCTATCAACATGGGATCTAGTTTTGAAGATCTCGACATCGAGAATTCAATTGTGAAAAGGTCTCGAGATTTGGACGCATGGTTTAAGAGATAAAACATATTAAATAGATGAATGTACGAAAAAAAGGAAAACTTCCAGATTGCAAAAGATGGTGCGCATGCAGTGCGCCACTTGTCGCAACCTGATACCAGTATCTGCATTAGTATGAATCATAACTGAACAACAGAAAATGAATGGATCAATATATAGTACTTGAAACAGAAACTAGGAAAATTGGGGAATGTTTTTTATGTGGGGAGAAAAATTGGGGAATGTTGATAGATACCGGTACCTGTGTGGTGTGATTAGTCATGGGACGATAGGAGGGCTGGCCGGTAGCTGGTGGCCGCTGGCTGGCTGCTGATGTAGTGCAGGGCGGGGGGCACGCCTTACTCGGTCACGCATGCACACCACGGACAGGAACGGGTGGCTGGGTGCAGTGGAACGCGCGACCGCGTAAGCAGCGCATGTGGAAGAGCGTGGCAGGGCGGGGCACGGAGATAAGTGGGAGGCGGCGATGACAAGTGGTTGGCGAGGCGCAGACCAAGGGGGCAGGCGGGAGGCGGCTGACGGCGAGTTTAGATCAGGAGAGCCGGAGAGGGAGCAGAGGGGAATCAGTGAAAGGGCAGAGACCGTGACCGGGCGTCGGGAACACTAGGCAGCCTGTTGGGCTAAAAAAAATTTCCGTCCAGCCCATCTCCTCCTCAAACCTTTATGAGCAGCAGCCAATGTGTTTGCTGAAATTTGCTAGAAATCTTACGTTCGCTAAATAATATTTTTCTATTATATTTTATATCCAACTATACCTGGCCATCTCTCGGGCCGGGCCTAACCAAGCCCAAAGCAAAAAAAACTCAGGCCCAGGCCTGGCCGGGCGTCGGACCTAAAAATCAGGCCCAAGTCTGGCCCATCCCTGCGAAAGCCGGCCGGACCTCTAGCTGGGCCTCTTCATTAAATGGCAAATATGGTGGGTCCGGCCCGGCCTTCGGGCTCAAAACCTAGGCCCAGACCTGGCCCGACCAGGCCGGGCCGGGTGAGGCTTTTTCAGGCCGGGCCGGGTCGGGCCGGGTAGCCCATGGGCAGGTATATTTCCGACGCGTTACCGCTAGGCGTACGTCGACAACCTTAGCTTCCCGATAAACCCCAGTCGTCCGGACTCGATTCCTACCGATCCCCTTCCTGACCTAGACGGCGGCGGCGAGCCGGCGGTGTGCTTCTGCCTCCTGCTCCCCCGCCCAAACCTCCACCCCGACACCTGCCCCTCTCACTCTAAGGCGTTAGGAGCAGCTCGCCGAGTCGCCAACTCGTGATATCGACAACATCAACCGAGCCGCGGGACCCATGGCTTCTGTTCCGTCACTCCTGGTCTCCTTGGACGAACACGAAGGTTCTGGCCAAGAGGGTGTTCAGGAAGTTCATGAAATCGCTAATGGAACCGAATCAAATGTGAAAAAGAGAAAACAAAGGTATATTCACACATCGCATCCTCCTTGTTGTACCTCAACAGTAGCATCGTAGACTCTTGATTAATTACATCCTGTTTTTATCTTTTATTTCCCAGGGAAATAGAGATCAGTGCCTTGGAGGAAAGGGCGTTGCAGAAAGGTATACCGCAGACTCCAGATGAATTCGACAAGTTGGTTAGGAGCTCTCCAAATAGTAGCTTCGTCTGGATAAAGTATATGGAATTTTGGTTCGACCTTGCAGATGTTGAGAAAGCACGTTCAGTAGCCGAAAGGTAATGTCTGCTGAATAAGGATCATTCTTTTGAGATTCTGGTTCAATAATCCGCGGTGGTAGGAAGTTACTGTTCTGAAGAAGAAAAACCCAGAAAATTTTCAGTTCTTAATTTATCTATTATTATAAGAATCTACTTTGTAGTTAAGTTTTGCTGAAATTTTCTTTAGTTCAAACATGTCGTGTGAATTGCCATCTAATACAATTGTCCTTATGTTTGTTAGGGCTTTGAGAACAATAAACATTAGAGAAGAGGATGAGAAACTCAATGTATGGGTAGCTTACTTTAACCTTGAAAATGAATATGGGAGTCCGCGAGAGGTAAGTTGCAACTTGCAAATGACACTACATTACGTTTTCTTCTTTCTGCTGTCCTAGCTGATACTGATCTGTCGTCGGTATATACAAGGATGCCGTCAAGAAGATATTTCAAAGAGCCGTGCAGTATTGTGATCCCAAGAAGGTGCACCTGGCTCTTCTTGGAATGTATGAGAGGACTCAACAACATCAACTGGCAGATGAACTTCTTGATAGAATGACCAGAAGATTCAGGACTTCACGCAAGGTTAGCTTGTCAATTTGTTGTCTGTATTTGGAGCAAATATATGACTTGCATGACGCAATTGTAGATCTGGTTCCACCGCATTCAATTTTCTCTCAAGCAAGGCGAGGGCGTTGAATACATGAACTTTGTCGTAAACCGCGCACTTCTAGGTCTGCCACAGCGCAAGCATATAAGGTTTGTCACGCAGACCGCTATCCTGGAGTTCAAGTGCGGGGTGCCTGAGGAAGGGAGAACCAGATTTGAGCTGATCCTATGGGATCATCCAACAAGAACAGATCTTTGGAGTCTTTACCTTGATCAAGTAATATTGCTTGCAAACTGTGTCCTGTATTTGTTATCCTCCCGAAAACCTTTTCAATTTAACTGGAGCAATGATCTTTTGTAGGAAATTCGACTTGGTGACACGGAAATTATACGGGCATTATTTGAAAGGGTGATATCCCTTAGTCTTCCTCCAAAAAAGATGAAGGTTTGGCTCATTCTTTGTGTATCCTGCTCTTACTTACTATTAACTCAATCAGATCTATTTTTGTAATGCCTCTTGCTTCTTAGCGTACTTTTTTTTGACTGGGGCTTCTTAGCGTACTTGATCCGTATTTCACCCATTTTTGTCTCATTTTTTTTGCTCGATGGAGCTTAAATTGTATAGCTAAGATCACAAGGCTGTAATTTAGTGTATGGTTCAGTTTGTTTGGCTGAGCTCAAGCGTGAACTCCATCTCTCTTTACTAAATCTGTCCTCTTTCCTGCATATGCATCTCTTACTGATTTCTATTCACTTTCCCCTGTGGGATATCCTGAATTATTTTCTGGAAAGATCAACTATTTGTTTGACTGAGGACTCTAACCTACCTGATATTTGCCATTCACAAATTTCGTGTACTCATTTTCAGCATAGTCTTTATTAGGGTGTTCCTTGCATTGATATTAGTTTAATTTTCATACCATGCTCATCATTTGCAGTTCTTGTTCAAGAAATACCTGCGATATGAGAAGTCTCAGGGCGATGAAGAAAGAATCGACCATGTGAAACAAAAGGCACTCGAGTTTGTGAACATGCCCTACGAAGCATGACGCTCACTTAATGTCAAAGAAAATTCCTGTGAAATGCATTCGCCTATGGAATAGTAAAACTTTTAGGTTAGCTCAGTACTTTATTCCTTTGAGAAAACTACTCCCTCCGTCTCATAATGTAAGATTTTTTTTACACCACTAATGTTAAAAAACGTCTTAGATTTTGGGACGAAGGGAGAACCTTGTAAAATGTTTCTTTTGAAGGGTCCTGTGTGCATGTCTAGTTCTCTACCCCTATCTGGTATTGTTGGACTAAGAATGTGTATGCAAGCTTCTTTTGGTTAACTAACTTATTGTTGACCCTCCATTGTTCTTGACCATCTTGTTTTCTTTTTGTATTGAGACATGAATCTTTCTTAATGACATTGTGAATGATATTTCAAATGACTAATTCAGATGCCGAGACAAGGTTTTCTTTAGCGTTCAATTTGCCTTTTCTGAATTAATGTTAGTGATGGCATGGTGGTGTCTGTTTGTCATGTCATTACAAAGGTGCTTATTGGGTCCGAATATACCCAAAATGGCTCTTGCCCCGCATTATATTAAAGCAAACGATCTTACAAACCCGCACAAACAACATGACACCACAACCCACGCACCCAAGGCAAGATACAACAGTGTAGAGGAATGGCAACAAAGCCGAGCTTGACGAACTAGGACTCCCAGACGACGCCTTCAAGGGGAACGACACGGGTGTGCTCAACGCGATGACGTCTTCAGGAAGGATACGACATCCACGGACACTGCCGCCATCGGCCTGGCCTCGACCAGACAAGGGGATGACCCTTGAAGCAAAATCCGCCTCCACAATGTGGTGCGACTGGACGCAAAGCCAACTGCCGCACCACCTGATCGAACGCCGAGCACCGGCCACCACGCAGCCCACACGACTATGGTGGCCAGGCCGCACCTGAGCCATGAGCTCTGCCGCGAGCACCACGTCTCCCACCATCGAGGCCCCCGCCCCGGAGTTTGAGACCACCCCACCTCCGCCGCCGAGGTACACAAATGCCGCCGATCGAAGAAGGGCAAAAGGTGCCACCTTTGCCCCAAACCGCCCCTCCCCTGGTAGGAAGGGGGGCCCAGCCAACCGGAATATAGGCGGGAGAAGGTCGCCGGCAACGGCCAGCCACACCACAACCTCTGCACCATGCACGCCATCGGGACCAGTGCCACCGCCACGACACATCTGGCACCTCCAGATTTCGGCGACGACAAAGATCGGCAGGCACCCCTGCCTCCTTGCCCAGATTGCCCATGCCCTACTGGTCGGCCACCGACGCATCACGTGTTGAGCTGCCATCACCATCTAGCAAGAGCAGCCGCCGGTCGATGCACCAAGTATCCGCGCGAAGGACGGGAAGCTCACCACCACCGCTCCGACGCCACCCCCCCACCAGCAGACTGCCACGGCAGGGGCCGACCGCCGGCAGCCAGGCCAAACGCGGCCCGCACCTCGCGAAGGCCAGATCCGAGCGCCCTGTCGACGGAGCCTACCATAGGCGACGCCCTCGGGCACCACTTGTGCCCCTCCACCATGACACCCGTCATGGGGCCGACACCCGCCGCCACCCTTCGACGCCGGCGCGGCGCCGCGCTGCAACGCGTCCATCGCCCAGTGTTACAATCCCAGCCAGCCGCCAAGTCCCGCGCTGAGGCCGCCGCCGCCGCTGGTGGCAACCGGGTTTCACCCGGCTGCGCCCTTAGACTGCGGCAATGGAGAAGGGAGAGGTGGAGGGGAGGGGAGGGCTTGGCGGCGATGGCAACTAGGGTTCCCCCTCGGTCGCGCGCAGGGTGACACGAGGGGGAGGGGAGAGAAGGGGGTGTTCGATTTCTCACACTTTGCTTTCTGTCTCGGGTCTGAATATTTGGGTCCTCGTATGTTGCATTATGAAATGTTCTATATTTTAGTTGTATAATTGTTTCTAATTTAGAGACACAAAACAAACAACTTTGTTTGAAATTTGCTTGTAAAAATATGCACTTATACATAACCCGAGGTTGACATTCTCATTAATTTTGTATCCATGCCAGTTAATTCAAGCTTCCCAAGGTTATCATGTTCCTTTTATGTGAAGTTACTTTCTCTCCGTTGGGTGTTGTATTCAGCTTGCTATAACGGCACTTCCTTCCACCGTTTCTCTAACCAGTTCATGTGGATGCCCGAGGCACTTAACATTTTTTTCTGTCTTTAAAATCTGACTGAAATGCCCCCGCAAAAAATCTGACCGACATGCTTCATGCCCCGTAGGATTAGAAATGACCTAATAAAGTCTAAATTCAGAAATTGAAACTTTGTCATATGTACTATTTATTCATCTACTGTCCCCTCAATTATAGAGGATCGGATGCGGCAATGCGCGTCTTTTATTCAAGTACTACGACCTCTGTGTAAGACGTTTTGCCAATTCAAGATAAACTTCCAAAACATCTTATATATAGGAACAAAGGGAGTATATATGTATGTATAGTGAATATGCCCTTCAGAATTAATGGTGGACAAGGTTGGCGTTCTCCAAATGGGTCAAAAACTTTGTTTTCCATTGCGACATCAAGTTACAATGCAAGGGCCTCATGACATGAGTCTGATACCTGCTCATCAGTAGCTTGCCAAGGTCAAACTTGGCAATGAGAATTGCCTTGGCCCTAAACCGTAAACTTGGCCGCCTTTCTGAGAATCGTCTTGGCCTTCATGTCGGTAAAGATGATGTACCTACCGAGCTGTTGTACGGCGTCTGTGACGAACCTTGACGATACGGTCCTTGACCCTCTTGGCGTGCCCATGGAACTTGCGCAACTCATACTCGTCCATACAGGTAAAGTTGGATTCCTCTTCTTGTTCCAACTTTTTCATAGATAGCTTCTCATCTTCGAGTAGCGATTCTAGTTCGTTTCCGGGAAACTCGCCCATCCAGCAGGGCGTGTACGGGAAAGCTGCATCCATCTCTCCACATGGTAGCCCGCAGCTGGGATCGAAATCTGCTGGACACACATTGCCCAAGTCCTGAAATTTTGAGTTGTTCCAATCATAGGCCATTCCTCTTGCTTCTCTCCCTGATGAAATCAAGAAGACAATCTCTTTATAAGGATGAAATCCAAGAAAGTAAAGACCATCGTGATATCCCTCTTCAGCATTGTCTTCAATGTCAATGATGTTATCCTCGTCAGAGTTCCAATCATATTTCTCTTCCACCTGCGCTCTGTAATCTCGATATTTATTACCATTGTGCTCAAAGAAGCGCTTACGATGGTTAACATCCTGTAAGATCCATCGCCTGCCCGGTTGGTCCTCATGTTCAAAGATCTCCAGACGGGTATCATGTTTTAGCACCCACTCTATTCGACTGCATGATTCGTTGAGATACCAAAGCTGAAGAAATCCATCCCAGCTACAAGATATTGCGAAATACACCCCTCTCAGTGATCTCCCTAAATGGTGGTTGGGATGTTTGGCATATGGTAGCTTAATTACACTGTAAGTGTGATCTAACAAGGACATTCTGCAAAGAGTAAGTCGGATGCATATTAATAGCAAGCAATCTAACCGAGTCATAGATTTGTTAGAGTAGAATGGTGACCAAGGAGAATAAAAATTTACTTACCTCGTAAGATAGCCATACTGGCAGTGGACGTACAGCGCGCTTTGCCAATAGACGGCACGATAACGATACCGATCGTCCTCTGAATCCGTGTGCATGTTGGCGACGATCCCTGCAGCCTCCCCTTCCCGAAGAAAGGTCGTCTCGTCCCACCGCTGAGTCACCGACGAGAACACATGCATCACGTATGATGCGGGAGGCCACTCCGACTCGAGCAACGGGCTGTCGTCGTCGTCGTCTGAATCCCCGGCGGCTGGCACGCGTGGGATCAGAGAGACCTTGTAGTGCGGCGACACGGCGGGGTCGAACGCGAGGTAGGCGGTCTGGCCGGAGCCCGGCATGTGCGGCCGGGGGCGTTGGGGCAGACGCGTCCACCGACGCGTGGCCGGGTTAACGACGTACTCGCACAGCCGTGCATCGCCGCTCTTATCACGGCAGAGCAGGAGCCCGTTGCAGTGGTCCGTGACCTTGACGCCCATCGTGCATGGCAAGAAGTCCAGCCCTCCGCAGATTGCCGGGCCCGTCGAGGGGCGGGAGAAGAACTCCGAGAAGGTGAACCGGGGGAAGTTGATGAAGATGCCGCGCACGGAGCGCGAGAGCAGGTGGCCGCGCAGGCGGGCGTCGACGGTGTCGCGCCACGCCCTGCAGACCCGCCGGGCCGAGCCCAGGCTGTGCGGCTCCAGGCGCCGGAGGACCTCCGCGATGACGTCGCCGGGTAGCATGGCGAGCTCCGGTGCCATGGTCGATCGATCTTTCTCGCCGCTACTTTTAGTTTCCAAGTCGTCCGCGATCGCGCACGCGAGACACGCCGCGCGCTGCAAGTCTTTTTTTTAGGGAGTCTGCAAGTTGTTAGCGAACTATACGTACTTGGAACGTGGTGCAATCTTGGACTATAACTAACACGATTCGAGACGTATTCGACCAGGAGTAGTACGTATTGGAGGCGGTCAAACGGCGCAACTGATTTGCTTTTTAGGACAACGGCGCAGCTGATATGTATCGCAATAGTTGTCTCCAAAAAATAGTTGTCTCTAAAAACAAGGTATCGCAATATGGAAAGTTTTTTTTTAGGGGAGTAAAGTCTGATTTAAACCTTGAGATTGTAGTGCCGGTCAAAAGCAAACCCGCACCTCTAAATCCCTGAAGTCCATACCCTGTCCTCTTTAATCCCGGTCATTTTTAACCTTGATACTCTTTTAGGAATGGATTTGATGACGTGGCAAGGAAGACCGGGTTTGTTGACTTTCTTTCATCTAAAAATATAAAGTGCGTGTATGCATGCATGCCATGGTGCATGGTAGCATTCATAGCGTACCGTGCAGGTCGGTCGTTTTCTTGCGCGGGCACGGGATCAATTGTAGGCAGCGTACCGTACGCTAGCTAGCTCTACAGAGGTATTTA